TGCGTACTTTCCAGCGTGTAGGTAGAACGCCGAGTTGTCTTCGACGACATTTAGTCCCAAGTACTGGGTCACTGAGTCGGACACCGTGAGCGTCAGGTCCCCTTTCAGCTCCCCTTCGAACCAGGTGACGATGTCGGTGGTAGAACCGATGTAGAGCAGGTCGTCGACGTAGACTATGAGCAGAATGTAATCTCTTCCCTTCTGCAGTCGGTACATGCCTTGGTCATGTGGTAACTGTAGGAATCCGATTTTTACGAGCCGGCCGTGAAGGTGCTGCTGCCAGAGCCGTGGGGCTTGCTTGATCCCGTAAAGGGATATTTCCAGCTGGCATACTTTTGAAGGGTCGTCTATGAATCCGTGGGGTTGTTCGACGAAGATTTCGGCGTCCACAGGTGCGTACAAGAAGGCGTTTGCGACGTCGATTTGCCGTAGTGGTAGTTTCTTCGTGGCCGCGACGGCGAGTAGGATGCGCAGGGAGGTGTGACGGGAGACTGGGGCGAAGGTCTCTGTGTAGTCGGTTCCGTATCGTTGGTCGAAGCCTCGTACGACCCATCGCGCTTTAAAACGTTCGATGGAGCCGTCCGCGTTGGTCTTAATGCGGTACACCCATTTCCCCGAGAGAATGTTCCTCCCGTTGGTGTTGGTTGTCGGTACTAACTTCCATGTATTCCGGTCTTGGAGGGCTTTTAACTCTTTTTCCATTGCTTCCTTCCATTCCGCCTTATGTTCCCCCCCCATAGCCTGTGACAGGGTCGATGGCTCGCGCGGAGAAGGCGGCGGCGGGTGCTGGACGGAGACCCATAGTCCTAGGATCTGCAGTCCCGTGGCTGTGTGTCGAGGGGAATTTTCATTCCCGGGATAAGCTGCTTCATCACCGTCTTCAGGATCGGGTAAGAAGTTTGGCCCGATGCGTTCGGAAATATTCGAGTCGACGGGGTGTGGTGTAGTGTAGCCTTGGTCAGCGAAGTGGTAAAAGGTGTCGAGGTTGTTGCTATCGAGGGGATTATCTTCATCGAGTGGAACAGGTACGGAGCAGTAGGGTAGTGGTCCGGCAGCCTCCGAGGCTCCAGGGACGTCTTCTTCTGCTGCGTCAGCCTCGGCAGCATGGTCAGCGAAGGAGCGAAGGCCCGCGAAGCCGTCGGTGGGGTCGTCTGAGTTGGCAATGTTGTCCAGGTAATGCTGCAGCGTCAGTCGCTCGTAGAAGATAACATCACGTGATGCCACCGTATTTTTGTCTTGTATGTCGAGAATCTTCCACGCGTGAAAATGTTTGGCGATGCCGAGGTGTAGTCCCCACCGAGCTCGTTGAGTGAAGCGTCCTGCTCGAGCTGTGTGGGGTTTGTATTGTACCATGCAGCCGAAAACTCGAAGTAATTTTGTGCTGCCCCTTTTTCCCGTCCACAGCAGGTGTGGTGATGCGTTGTTGGGGAGCGATGACGAGGACAACAGGTTGTGCAGGTGGACTGCATGTGTCATCGCGTCTGGCCACAGTGTGTTGGGCAGTTTCATTCCCAGGAGCAGCTTTCGCATTGTCGTCTGCAAGGTCCGGTTCATGCGTTCTGCGACCCCCTGCTGCTGGTGAGCGTATGGTAGGGACACCAGGCGCCTGATTCCTCTTTCCGCCAGATAGGTCCTGAAGCGTTGTGACTGGTATTCCAGTGCGCCGTCTGACTGGAAACTTTTTAGCTTGGTTCCTGATTCCCGTTCGGCGATGGGGAGCCATGTTGTGAAGGCGTCAAAGGCTTGATCGCGCGTCTTGAGGTTGTAATGCCAAGTGTATCTTGTTGCTGCATCGACGAAGGTGATGACGTAGTTGAAGTCGGCTTCGGTGTCGTCTCGAGGCATGTTCAAGATGTCGCTGTAGACTTTTTCCATCGTTGCATATGCAGGCGCGCTTGGATTATGATGTGATGGGAAGGGTTGATGAGGAAGATCTGCTTCGGGGCACGTGAAGCACCGTGCGCGAGGTCGTCGAAGTTCTTGGCCGTTCGTTGTTAGGAGGGCGTTGCGTTCTAACACTTCGGCTTGGATGGTTTGTAGTATTGTACTATTTGCAGGGTGCCCGAGGCGTTGGTGCCAGATGTCGTCGGGAGCGCGATGGCCGGGTGAGCGGTGGTATATGTCGGCGTTGGAGAAGAATGCGACGACTGTGGCGGGACTTCGACAGACTTCTCGTGTGATGGGCATAAGTTGATCTGCTTCGGTTGGCGGTCCTCGGACTGCCGGTGGTGGTACTAGGCTTGGTCCTGCTGCTGCTACTGCAGGTGATGGTTGGGACTGGACGCTTGTTGGTACTTGCCGTTCTTGTCTGATAACTACTAATGCTCGTGTTCTTTCTGCTGCAGGTATGGTGTTGGAGTGCCAGAAGCCGTCACTGTCGAAGTCGGGATCAAGATCCGGCGGGTGTGTCCAGGCGGCGAACGATACGATACCGTCGCTGTCGGCAGTACCGCGGTCGGGGACAAAGTCCAACACGAAGACACCGGACTTCAGGAGGGCACGACCTATGAAGAGGCCGCCCTTCCCGTGGTAAAGCCGGAACTCGTTGGAGAAGGAGTCGCACTCCAGGTGAATCCCCTTGGCCATTAGTTGGCTTACGCTTAGTAGGTTGTATCCCAAGTTGTCGACGATGAGTACTTTGTTGAGCTGAAGTATTACGTTTGTCTCCATGGATTGTAACTGAACCACGCCTTGTCTGTTTGTCTTCAGGTTTTCGTTGTTGGCGACGGTGATGACGACGTCGCGGTTGAGCCGTTTCTCCTGTTGCACGAAGCGTCCCGAGGAGCACATGTGTTGACCGCAGCAGCTGTCCAGGAACCAGGTGTTTCGTCCGGTTGGTTCGGCGTTGGCGACCGCAGCGTACGTCGGATTGACTTGAAGTCCTTGTGAGCGTGGTGGCGGGAGCTCTTCTTCGTCTGGCGCGTAAGTGGGTGGTGAGCCGGGTGCACAGTTGTCGATGTGTACCATGCAAGTGATAATGTTTGGTGTCTGTTGTGCAGATGTTGAAGAGCGCCTTGGGGGACTTGCTTGGGTTGAAGCAACTTGTGGGTCTGCTGGACGGTAAACGCGAGGGCGGTTGCAGTTGACCTTGGAGTGCCCGGAAGTCTGACAGTTGTGGCAGAACGGCGGCACAAAGGTAGTCCCTCTGTTGTCGCGCTCTTGCTTGCTGCGTCGATTGTAGGTGTTGTCGTTTCTTCGTTGAGTGTAGAAGACTAACTGCTGCTGCTTCCTTGGTTGCCTTTCTTCGAACAGGTCCATCTCCTGTTGTTCAGCGTGAAGCTCGGCGCAGAGGTGCATCTCCGAAATTCTTCCGTGGGCGCGAAGAAGTGATCGTGTGGTTCTCCATTCTGGCCCGAGCCCGGCGAGGACAAGTGTCACGAAGCTTTCTTCAGTGATTGTTCCTCCGCACCGAAGCAGGCGGTCGCGGAGAGTCTGGCATCGACTCATATATTGCATTGCCTTTTCCTCGGTCTTCATCTGTATTGTTGTCAGTTGTTGCATGAGTCTGCTTTGCGTCACGCTGTCGTTTGCTTGATAAAGGCACTTGAGATGATGCCATGCGAGTTCCGCAGAGTTCCCATAACTCCGATATGTTCTGATGCTCTGCTGTTCTTGTGGTGACAGGTTCCGCAGGAGGACTGTATACGCCAGCAGCGACTGATACGTGAAGATCTCTTGCTCCTTTCCAGTGCCGTTGCTTGGAAATGGCAGGGACCCGTTGAAGTATCCCAGAAGATGCGCGGCCTCCATCAGCAGCTCGAACTCGAAGCTCCAGGTAAAGAAGTCGTGTCCGTTGAACGGTGAGGATGTTTGTAACTTAATAACGTGTGAGAATTGAGCCTGAAGACTGAGAATCTCGTTTGGTGTTTGTTGTGATGCAGCTGCTGTTGGTTGGGCGCGGGGCGGCATGAACTCGAACGTCCCCGGTGAAGAATGATACGGCGCAAAGGTAGGCGCTTGGTTGTGTCGCCCGAAGGATGAGTTGTCGAGGCTCATCGGCGCTAATCCCATGTTTCCTCCATTGCTCTGTGTTGAATGCGCAGGTGTTCTTGTCTGCTGCTGCTGGTCGAAGTGCGACATGAAGCTGAAGAACCTTTCCATAAGGTTGGGGTCCACGCTTGAAGAGGGAGATGGAGTAACCATCTCTGGTACTCTTCCCGTTGTTTCTTGAGCAGTCCCGGTCTCTGTCTGCAGTCCTGAGGTGTGCAGACCAGAGTTGCCGTGTTGAGTTTCTTGGCCGCTGGGTGAGCCCGTAGAGACTTTCTTGCCCTTGCTGTCCATGTCTTGCAATCAATGAAGTCGTTGAATTGAGTTGAGTTGCAGGTTGGTGATAGAACGTAGTTGCTGGGAGTTTGGTCTCTGACCAGCTCTCATACCATGTTGGGCTGAGAAAAGCCCTTGGGATCTTTCCAGAGACTAAGTCCCAACTGTAAAGACTTGGGGGTAGTGCAGCGGAAGTTGAGGCAGTTGAACCCTTGTACTAGTATGTGAGAACAAGTGATAATAAAAAGGCAAACATACAGCAATATGTAGAAGGTAAGAAACAGTTGTAGAGTACAGTTGCAGTAGCGGTTTATCGAGTCGTACAGCGACTCGATTGTCGCTTCGGTTACCATCCGTGCTGTTGTAACGGTCAGTCGCAACCTCCAGTTGCGACCCTTTGAGTCCCAAACCCTTCGTGTTCTTTGTCCGCCCCCTCGTGTAACCTCCGTTGACTCGCGTACCCCTTGCAATCTTCCTCGAGTGTAGTGTTACACTTCAGAAACGCTTAAGTCTTTTGATGTACTTTCAACAACCTTGTTGGGAAACACCCCAATTTAACAGACCTTGACTGTTGGCACCTCCAGAAACTAGTCCAGCAGGGGTTCTACCAATGCTGTGTGAGTTTCACGAACAGCGGACTGGCTCTCCCTAGGCTTGCACGTGCACCGACATGTTGAAAGGGGGTTTCCTCCTCTGTTGAAACAGCACAATGACAGGAAGGGTGCCCAAAATATACTTCTGTTCTGACACTGTTATTATTTGATGGAGCATTATGGTAGTGACTAGCCTGAACAACATCCCATGTAATGCGACAATGAAAAGACAATCTAACAACCTGGCCCATAACCAGAACCCAATCTCCCACCATGCAACATACTAACAAGTTATGTAGTAACCAGACAACCAAACAACCTATCCCTACCACCCATACCATGATTTGGTGCTTCTACCATACTCCACTTCACTTCACACTTCTAACCAGTGTTGTAGCAAGAGCAGCAACACAAACAGCACCACCACAGCACCACCAACGGCACCAGCAGCAGAAACACGAGCCGCACAACACACCCCGCCCCAGCCACCTTCCCTCCTCCCTCTCACAGCCCCCTGCTGCCACCACCCCCACCCCCCAGCCCAACAGCCGCAGCAGCAGAAGAAGCCGCAGCAGCAGCGGAAGAAAGCGCATGGCCCGACACAGGTCGCTCCGCCATCTGACTCACCCTCGCACTGCGCTGCACCGCCTGCACTTTCAACGCCGTCGCCCGCTGGAAAAACTGCTCCTTTGCCAGGGTCCTCACGTGCCGTAGATACGCATCGACGGTCAGGATTCGGCGGCGGGAGTTGGCAGAGGAGGGATCGTACTCATCGTGACCCCGCTCCTCTTGGAGAGCGCGGTCTAGGGAGTAGAGAACGTCTTCTATGGCGAGGTCTGCTGCTGTGTGCTTTAGGAGCTGTGCAGAGAGAGCGTCACACGGCTGGAATGCTGAATCGATGTCGGGGAGTGGGGGAGAGGAGGAGGTGGTTGTGCTGCTGCTAATGGTGATGGCGGTTAATCTTGTGGTGGTGGTTGTGGAGGTGGTGGTGGCAGGAGGTGCGGCGTTTTGGGCTAGCCATGACTCGATCACGTCGGCATTGGTTTGCTGGACCTGCACCCGATGGGCAGCATGGATCCAGGCATGCACATGGCCACATAAACACCATGCACCATGCACCATGCACCATGCACCATGCACCATGCACCATGCACCATGCACCATACACCATGCACCATGCACCATACACTATGCACCATGCACCATGCACCATGCCCCATACACCACGCACCATGCCCAATGCACCATGCCCCATGCACCATGCCCCATGCACCACGCCCCATGCACCATGCCCCATGCACCATGCACCAGGCACCAGGCACCAGGCACCAGGCACCACGTGCCACGCGCCACGCGCCACGCGCCACGCGCCATGCCCCATGCCCCATGCCCCATGCCCCATGCCCCATGCCCCATGCCCCATGCCCCATGCACCACGCACCACGCCCCACGCACCGCGCACCATGGCACCATGCACCAGATCCCATCAAAAAGAGCAACAGGTGGTGGCGTGGGGGGGAATGGGAAAAAGCAGACAAAAAGGTGGGGTGAGAGAGTGAGAGAGCATAGACCCCCCCCCCCCCCCCCCCCTTCACACCCAGCTGGCTCAACCCCGCCCCATGTATGTTTGCCCATCAATCCCCAGCCTCACCTGGACCTACTCTTCCAGGCCTTGCTTCTCCCCCTCTCTCTCACCTTTCCAGGGCTCCCTCACCACCTCCCAGACAAAAGGACCCCCACACACCACGCCATCCCCTCCTCGCGTCAACATGCACTTCTCACACAAATTTGGGCTCTTTGAGTCGGCTTAAAAGTCACCTCCTTGCAACGCAACAGCAACCAGTTTTCCCCCCCGGCAAACAACCGCACACACCAGTTCGCACACAACAGACACCAGTTTCCCCCCCGAATCTCTCACCTGCAGCGCCTCTTCCAGCGCCTGTTTTTCCCTTGCGAGCTCCCTGACCACGGCGCTGGCCTGCTCCTTGCGCGCGGCCAGCATCTGCTGCAGCCCCAGCTGCTCCTCCATCACCCGGTTTGCCGCCTGCCAGCTCTCGCCCACGTCCGCGTTCAGCTGCAGCGACAGCGACGCTATCGCCGCCTTCTTAAACACAACCTTCGCCTCCTCGCCCTTGGCCTGCCCGGTCTCCCCTCTCGCTCCTGCTGCCGCTGCCCCTGCTGCTCCTGTTCCCTGGCCGGACGCGCTTCTTCCTGCTACACCTCCCGCGGCCCCTGCGCCCCCTGCTGTCGACGCTCCACCTGCCGCTCCTGCCGCTCCAGCTGCACCCGTGACAGGGCCTGCACCCGGTCGAGCAAAGCGCCTTTAAAATGCCCGTACTGTTGCTGCTGCTGCCCGTACATAGCCACCTCTCCTGCCACCACTCCCCTCCCCCTCCCCCACCACCACCACTGCCGCTGCTGCTGATTGCTCTCTCTCTGCCGCCTGATCCTGTCGCCGCAATACGGCCCCTGTCTGAACCCGACGAAGGTGGGCCGTGCATGTGCATGGGGTTTGTGCCCTGGAACGCCGAGGACGGGGATAAGGGCGGGGGTGCAACACCGCCAGAGAATGCCTGCGGAGGAGGCGACATCTGCTGCTGCTGCTGCTGGTGTTGGGGGTGCTGTTGCTGCTGCTGCTGCTGTGCGCGGACTTCCCCCGCGCCTCCCCCCCCTGCTCCGCCAGCGCCGCCGGCTCGCGCACCTGGTGGCCGCGCTTGCGCCGCGGCGGCGGATTGCGCGGGCGAGCGGGAGTAGAGCGGCGGTTCTTGGCCAAACATAACCGACAGGACCTGTAGCAGATCGACTAAGGTCGAGCGCTGGTACACCCACTCGCGGAGAAACGGCACGTCGACCAGCCCCGAGGCGTTCACGTGCGAGTGATTAGGCCGGATGATCATATCCCGCGTGGGCGTGACATAAACGAGGGGAGCGGCGCGCGGAAACTGCTCTAGCAGCCACATGGTGACGGGGATGTTGTACTTTATCTCCTTGTACCACATGGGTATGGTGCCCTCCAGCTGTAGCAGCTGCACCTGCCGCCCGTCGTTGTGCGTAAACGTGGCGGGACGGACCTGGGAGGGGGGGAGAGGGGAGCAGGGGGGGCGGGGGAGGAGGGGGAGGAGGAGGGAGGGGGAAAGGGTGCAAGAGTTGAAAGCCTCGCCATCGCCGTTTTATCGCCCCGACCAGCGTACTAACGACAGGGCTAGAGCAGATGAACCTTGAAAGGGAAGGTAGCGTCTGCACCATCGGCTGCCGATACGAGTGACGGAGCCACGGCGGATCCGGGATTATGAAAGGTTAACTAAAATAAAACTAAGAGCGATGCCGCGGGCCGGGTCGGACGACGTGAGGATACCAAGGGAAACGAACAGAAACCGCGTCATAAGGAAAAATGCATGATTGACCTTACCGAGTCGACTAAAAAACAACGAACCGCAGAACGAACGAAGCTGTTACTAATGTGGATGCACCCACATGCCGCGTGTATAAGAGCTGGCAGGTAAGCAAGACAAACGGACGAAACAAGGACGAAACAAGGACGAAACACGGACGAACCTGCAGGCCCGAGAAGGTCTGAATAGTGAACGCGAGCTGCTCGCGAATGAGCCACTTGTCGCCCTCGTTATAAGGCAAAGCCCCGGGACCTCGCTGCTCCAAGATGCCGTTAAGGAACTGCGCGTGCTGGCCTGAGGTCCACCTGAGGGCTGCTGCGGCTGCTGTTGCTGCTGCTGCTGCTGCTGCTGCTGCTGTGAGTAATAGTGGGAAGGGTTGTACGCAGATCCCATGGCTAGAAGTCTGTCTGGATCTACGGCTGGAATCCACTAGGAACGGCTGAGATCGACTGGGGACGGCTAGGATTGACTAGGGACGGCGGAACCGCTAGGGAAGTCTAAGAACGACAGGCTAGGGCCAGTAGAAACACCTAGAATCTCGATCGGCGATAGCATCTAACTGAAGGCGCTGGCGATGGAGAAATTTCTGGTAAGGAAAGAGAGGAGACGGATTGTTTCCAATCGGACGGTGATCGTTTAAAGCAGCTAAATCAACAGTGAATCTGAAAAAAGCACATAAGCTTGACGGGGTCGAAGGACAAAGGAATTAGCAGCAGAGACGCGAAAGACTAGACATTAAAAGGATTCGGGCTCTGTAGGAGTAGCACCACGCGGATATCGCCTCAGAACCGGACGAGTACGAGTAGGCTCCATGATAAAATCAAAGGGACGAAATCTACCGCTGCAAGCAGCTAACAAGCAAGATCGAGCCCTATCAGCTGATCACGGAACGCTGGCATGGCTATCGATCTACTAGATGGGACTGGCTGCGCGGTTGAGTGGAGTGGTCGAGGTGGAGGAGAGAGACAGAGCAGCACCAGCAGCAACTCTTCTGCAGAACCCCTAATGTACAGAAATGCATGATAGGTCTAGACTGACTGACTCCAGCACACCGCCCGAAAATGACCATTGATTCTCCTCCTCCACTTCCGGGCCTGGGAGCCACTCACACACGCAACCCTCGCCCACGGGATTATACTATCAACATTCGCTTGTGTCACAGAACAAAGTCCCTTGAAGGTTTTGAACAGCTCGTTATAGGCAATCGTGTGTGTTATAAATTAATCAGAGTAATAACAGGTAGTGTAATAAAAGAGTCGTGATTCAAGAGTTGTCAATACAAATGAGGACCTAGGCATTTATAGGCACAACAGGGCTAGCCGAGAACCTCGCAAACAGGTTAGGGCAATTCGGCTGGCGAAAGCCACGGAGGTGCCGTGCATTAGGTTTGGGTTTACGAAATGGTTCGGGACCGAGGAAAATGGCCGGGCCTGTCTTCCGAGGGTCGAGGGCGTATGCGCTGTAGTTGAGCCCAGTAAGGAAAAGGAATTTTCCTTACACCACCCCCCCTTCCGGGATGAGACTACCCACATCCGGGACACGTCTTCTGTGTAAATAATCTCTGACAACTTTGTGTTCACCGAGCATAGCTGCGGGACCCAGAGGTCGTCATCAGTCGTGCGATCGACCCATCGTACAAGGAAATCAACGGCTGCTGTATCGCGAGAACCTCGTACGCGATGAGCGAGAATTTTCTATGGCTCGATCGTCGGTTCAGGTACTGGGTTGACCGTAGGATTGATATGTTGACGGTCGAGATCAGTTGTATTCGGGACGAACGGTCGCAGGAGACTGATGTGGAATGAATCGTGAATGCGCCAGTCGACCGGTAGTTGCAGCTGGGCGGTGACGGGAGTCACCATGCGGATTATGCGGAATGGGCCGCAAAATCTTGGTTGTAGTTTATTTGGGAGGGGCATCCCCAAATTTCGAGTGTCGAGCAGGACCAATTGCCCAGGGGCAAGGTTTAAGTCATGGCATCGTCGGTTAGCTTGCTGCTTAGCCCATTGGTTGGCTTTGAAAATGGCATCGGCGGCTTTTTGCTGAGACTGTCGGAGGTTTTCGACGAACTGCTGCGATCTGGGTGCCGGATTTTCGATCGGTGGCGATAGAGGGGTTGTCGGGTCTATCCCGTAATTAAGGAAGAACGGGGACTGAGTAGTCGTGGCTGATGGGGCGTTGTTGTACACAAACTCGATCAGTAGAAGAGAATCTTCCCACTGGGCCGGGTCTGTGCACGTTGTACGAATCAACTGCTCCATCGTCTGATTGGTGCGCTCAGTCTGGCCGTCCGATGCAGAGGTGTGCCGTACTGCTGCCAGGCTTTTGTCCAGAAATTGGACGTGAACCGAGGGTCGCGATCGCTGATGATTGCCGAAGGGATGCCGTGTAACCGCACGATGTTCGTGAGAAACAGCTTCGCTGTCTGCTCGGCAGTGATTGTCGTCTTGCAGGCGGCGAAGTGTGCCATTTTGGTCAAACGGCCAACGACGACGAGAATCGCGTCATTACCGCTTGGACCAGCTAGCTGGCCAGTGACGAAATCCATCGTCACTTGTTGCCAGGGTCGGCTGGGTGGCTCGAGTGGCTGCAGTAATCCCGCAGATCGAAGTCGTGACGACTTCATGCGTTGACACGTGGCGCAGGAGGTGATGTACTGCTGCATGTCCGTCGGCAAATCGGGCAAGTAATAATTACAGCTCAGTAATTTGGCAGTTTTGTCGATGCCGTAGTGACCTGAGAAATTCGAGTCATGTGCCTCCTGTATCAGTAGCTCGCGTAGGGTACGGTAAGCGGGGACCCAAATCCGATTGGTACCGGATTTTAGGTAATAAGCCCCCTGCTTGACTGTCAGTTGGGGATGACTGTTAGTCGTGAAGAATGGGTCGGTACTGTATCCGTGGGTAAATAGTCCAGTTAGCAGCGAATTGGTTTGGGTGATTAGGACAGCGGCGGTATGTACTGAAGGGCGGGTCAGTGCGTCGGCGATGTTGCTGGCCCCTCGTTTGTAGGTGACTCTGTCGTGGAAATTCGACTCGAGATAATCGAGCCAGCGAATCTGTCGGGGGTTGAGTGTCGGTTGGGCGCGGATGAACTGTAGCGATTTGTGGTCTGTTCGGACTGTCACATCAGCGCCCGTCAGGTAGCAGCGCCAAACCTTGAACGCGTGAACGATGGCGAGTAACTCCTTGTCGTGGACGGGATAATTTCGCTCGGCCGGATTCAGCTTTCGTGACTCGTAGGCGATGGGTTGAAGGCCTTCGCCGAACACCTGTAACAGTACTGCGCCAAACAGCCAGGTCGCTAGCGTCGGTGATGAGTTCGAACGGACGGTGAGGATCTGCAATGCGAAGAACCGGAGGTGTTGTCAGGAAAAGTTTGAGTTGGTCGAACGCAGCCTGCTGCTCTCCCCCCCACTCATAAAAACGTGCCTTTCTTCAGAAGATCCGTGAGAGGGGAAGTTACCCCCGCCATGTTCGGGATGAATCGGCGAACGTAATTCACAAACCCTAGGAAACTTTGAAGTTCGCGAAGATTAGCCGGCGGCTTCCAGTCTTGTATGGTCGCGATTTTTTTCGGGTCGATTTTAACACCGTCGATGGAAAATAACGTGTCCCAAAAACTCCAGTTCTTGTTTCATAAACTCGCACTTAGAACCCTTGGTGATGAGTCGATGCTGCTGCAGGAGAGCGAAGACTGCTTCCAAATCCCTTAAATGTGCTTCCCGGATAGTGTTGTATATCAGGATGTCGTCGAGGTACACAATGACGCATTTATCCAGCAGCGGCCGAAAAACTTCGTTCATGGTTAACTGGAATGTTGAAGGCGCGTTGGTTAAGCCAAAAGGCATGACCGTGTACTCGTAACTCCCGTATCGGGTTCGGAACGCCGTCTTGTAGCAGTCAGCGTCGTTGACACGGATCTGGTGGTAACCGCCTCGCAGGTCAATTTTCGAAAAGAACTTTGCCCCACGAAGTTGGTCGATGAGTTCGTCGGCACGCGGAATAGGATAGCGAGACTTGATGGTAACCCGGTTCAAGGCGCGGTAGTCAATGCACATTCGTAGACCGCCATCTTTCTTCGGGGTGAACAGTATCGGAGCTGCGAACGGTGAAGTACTGGGGCGGACGAAACCTTTCTCGAGCATGTCATCCAGCTATGGCTGAGTCAGCCTCCACTGTGTCCGAACCGTCGGTTGCGCGCCGGGCTCCAGCTGGATTTTATGGTCGTGGTCTCGCTCGGGTGGCAATCCTGGCGGTAGGTCGTCCGGAAAGATGTCGGCATGCTTGCGGATCAATGTCGCCAAGTCGTCGGGGACTGCCGCGCAGAGTTTGTCGATGTCAGCCGGTGCGCTGACAGCCGTGGATGCGATCCATCTGTCGGCGTACAGTTGTGCCCCGCGAATCATCGCTCGCTTGATGGTAACCGCGCTGACTGTCGCAGAATCTGGATTGTTCCACTTCGGAAGTCTTCGCCACTCGCCACTCCATTTGATTCGACAGTCACCCGTCCGCCAATCGATGCTCGGGTTGTACTCGCGCAGCCAATCGCGTCCAGCAGCATGTCGCAGCCGTCCAACGTTGTCGCCAGCATCTTCGTCGTAAAGCTGAAATTTTCGCCGCATGTAACTCGCACGTGAGGTACTCCCTCCCGAATTGCCAGGGGTGTGCCATCGACCAATCGCGCGTCGATTTCGGGCAGACACCGCTCCAGTTGCAGTCGCAATTTTTCGCTTTCGTCACATCCATTAAACTGTGGCTTGCCCTACCATCAACAAATATTTTTATGCGGGTATCACCAACTCTCCCTTCAACCAGCACAGGGTGGTCAACCGGTTCACCCCCCTTATTCAGCCAGGAATGGTCGATAGCCCAAATCGACACTATAACCTGGTGGGGGTGGTGGCGTTTGGGCGACGCAGTCAAGTCAGTAGGTGGCCCATCTGCTACTGACGATCTCTATTTCCCGACTGCTTCTTATCGTTAGGTAAGTTCTTCTTCAGCTGCAGGCAGTCCCTCACCATGTGACCCGGCTGGTTGCAGTGGAAGCAGGTCCCCGAAAATACTCGGGCTGCAAACACGTCCACGCCGTTGATTGATGTGTGTTGGGGCTGGCCTCGAAAGCGATTTCCCTCCCGGAAACCCGCTCTCGCAAGTCCACGTCGCGCGTCCAGCGCATCCGCCATGCGAACAATCTCGTTGAAGGTCGTCGGGGTCGCAGGACGATTTCTTGTTGAATCTCCGGTTTGAGTCCGCCCACGTAGCGATCGATTTTCTCGTCCTCGCTGATCCCTCCGATTTGGTCGCAGATGGCCAGAAACGACGCCGTGTATTCTTGGACAGGGCCCAACTGTCTCCACATCCGAAGCTTTGTGCGAGCATTTTCGCGCATGGATATGTGCTCGAATCTGCTTTTCAACGCTTCACCCCACGCTTTCCACGTGCGGATCGTGGTCGAGCCAAAGATTGGTTCTGCCGTTGCTGTGGTGAACTCATCTCCCCAGCTGCCGCCCGTTGATTCCCTGCCGGAGCTCCTCCCTCGTCAAGATGCATGCGCCACCAGTCGAGTGCTGGTCCCCTCAGTAGCGACACAGCCAAGTTGACGCGTGAGGCGTTGTCATTAATACTTGCTGCGGTTCACTTGATTTTAATGGCCGCCCGCGGTTCGCTTTGGATTTCTTCAACTGCTTCAGGTGTCGCCGACGCCTTCGCTTCGCTCGCAGCATCCTCGTCTCGGGGTAACAGGCCGCTCCTTACGCGTTTCACCCCGCGTTTGGCGAAGTGACGAGTTTTCGTTGCGCAGCGTCTGAACTTCGCTTCCCAGCGACTCGAATTTATCCGCGAGTTGTTGAAGCTAGGCCTGCAGTGTCGTCACTGTAGCCGCCCTGGCTTGCAGCTCGTCAAACTCCTCCTGAGTCACGTTCCTAACACTACGACGGGCAGAGGTTTCTGGCGTGCTAGTCATGCTGGAAATTTTACCTGATAGATCTGAGGGTGCACACGCTTTTAGTTGGAGGAGCTTTAACGAGCTCGCCTACCAACCGCTGGCCAACCCTCTATTCTGTCGGGTCCTCTCCCGATATAAACGGACTACTCTACGGAAGACTAAGCGGGCAGGAACGGGGCTCTGATACCAGCCGTTATGAATTAATCAGAGTAATAACAGGTAGTGTAATAAAAGAGTCGTGATTCAAGAGTTGTCAATACAAATGAGGACCTAGGCATTTATAGGCACAACAGTGTTAAGATAGGAAACTTGGAAGGAGTAAAGGATAAGGCCGCCATGAATGTGGCGGCGGGGTTTAGCTAGGAGGGTAGGAAAGTGTCGAGAGAAAAGAGTGATTTGAGTAGTAAGAGAGAGCATACAAGGAGGGGTTTGTACCCTCTACAGAAAGGTTCAGTAACAACATTCCAAGCCTATATAAATTATAACTTAGATAATTTTAACACACCCCCTAGGCTTGGTAGTCACAAGCCCACACACACCCACACCCACACACCCTAGCCCAGCACCCCCATTCCCAGCAGCAGGCGCGATGACTCCGGGTGGGGCTTCCGCCCGGGAGATGGCAATGGCTGCAGCGGCGGCAGTGACAAGAGCGGCGACGACGGCGGCGTGCGGTGGCAACAGGCCAGCGGCACAGCGGCGGCGGCGGCTTCAAATCGTCAGGGGCAACTGCAGCGGCCCCCGCCCTCTCGGCGGCATGGCCGATCTCCTGGGCGACGGGACGGCCGCGGGAGGTAACTGTCGGCTGCGAGGAACAGGACACAGGGGACGGGGGGGGGCGGGGGGGGGGGGGGGGGGGGGGCGTGGTCTAGCCTCACGATTGAGGCTGGCGTGCGGGCGGCTGGTGTGGCGACGCCACGAACGTCGCGCGGCCGGCTGCCGCCGAGCGATGCTGCCACTGCAGAACGACGCCGCCACTGCGCGGCGGCGATGCAGTGGCGGACGACGACGCCGCGACCGCAGCACGATGCCGTCGCAGCGGTGTGGCGATGACGCCACGCGTCGGGGCTGCCACGGCAGCTCCATGGCACACCACGAAAGCAGGGAAGGGAGGACATGACCGCCACGGCGGCACGGCGACGGACAGGAAACAAGTACCTGTAATCCCCCGTATAAACACCCGCCGGAATTAAGCTCCCCCGGGTAGCTTGAGCGGGTATGGGTGTTTAATTTTTTCTGGATATACACAACACCTACTCTCGGACGTGAAAACATTTGAACACCCCCCTGCCACTAGAATCTCCATTTCTAGCAGGAAATGCCAGAATTTCGTGTTGCGTCATTCCGCGCTCAATCGCAGAAAAAAAACTGCTCGCACCGAAAATTTACTGTACAGATTCCCGCGTGTCGGAACAATGTCGCCTGAACAAAGGTTTTGAAACAATGCCCATGAATCTCGGCAGGCTTGAACCTGACGTTGCACCTTATGGAACAGCACTAAAATATTTCGCGTCAGAATTCGCGACACTGTAGTTCGCGAGCCTGGGAAGG